CATCTCTTTTGGTAAAAAAGACCAAATTTTGTACTAATCAAATCAAATGTTTACAAATTCCAAGATTCAGTTTTTTTAACATGATGTGATCTTATCCCTACTACAAAAATAGTTGGGAACAGCCGGTTAGCGTGAGTGATGAGTTTTACTAATTTTATCGACCACTATATGGAACAGTGTTACATTTTCTGAGCTCGCAGAAGTTTCGACTTCTGAGGGTTTTCGTTTATAGGGTGTCAAAAGCTGGGCCACAGAAAAAATAATGTATTAACAAAATTGTATGTAGGCTTGCTTGCTGCCTGCCTATTAATGAGTAGTAAAGACTTGGATTCCTGTTTTCAACAACTCAAAAATAAACAGATAGCGGATGCTTGCCTATCAATTTGCTACAAAACTAAAACAATCACGAATAATCAGCTCAGTAGTTCTCTTTATCTTCAAGTTAACATAGTTTTATTGATTTTGGAAAAACATTTATGCAGTACACACCAAGGGAATATGTACAAATGCATTGAATTTATTAGTTAAGCAACGTGAAGGCGCATTAGAGGTATATCATGAGCAGTACCTGTATAGAGACAATTAATAAAAGGCAAAACTGGAACCCCTGGAGTAGAATAAATCCAGAACAAGCACTTTTTCCAATCACCAGAAATGCACTACTCTTCTCGACTACTCTCTTACTTCCTCTCCTCTCTAACTAGATTTTTTCATCTCCCGAAGACGCCAACTTGGTTAGTGAAACCCGCGTCGAGAAGAGTATTGCATTTCTGGTGATTAAAAAAAGTACTTGTTTTGGAGAGACAATAATCAACTCGACTATCAAGTTTTTATTTGCATACACAATGCAATGCCTAACTTGAAAACCTATCTATGGACAACCAAACCAGGAAGGAAGACCCCAAGTTCATAATGACACAACCAAGTAAAGGTTATGCCATCGTCTCAAGAGTAGATTTGTCTCTTCTCGTAACATGAAGCCATAATGTTATGAACAAGATGTAATGTTATTCGAATAGTGCTGATGAGGTGATAAAACAAGTGTCTTGTCATGAAACTTCAAAGTACAGCATTGAGGATAATAGTGTTCTATGTAAGTGACAGTTTATATACTCTTTCATATATCACATTGTGTAGATTCCCTATGAATCATATTTGTTTCAATTCCATAATGAATGGTATTACAAACTGAATTGGAAAAATATATATTCATGTAATTCCATGTTTACACGAAAGTATTTTATTTAAAATCAAAAAAGAGTTTTTCTTTTCATTATGTGAAAGATTTTTTTTCGGAAAGGTCTTTTTTTCAATTTCTATCTGAAAAAAATTCTTTGTATTCTCTACATATCTTTATGAGAAGATTTTATTACAGTTAATTTATTTCTTCCTTGCATTAGAAATTTCTCACATTTTTTGTTCAATAATGGAGAAATAAAAAGACAAAAGTTTTTTTCTAAAAAACTAATCTCTCGTAACAATATTCCCCTTTTGATTCTCAACAAAGGACTTCTAGCAAATTTCCACACGCAAGCATCTCATTCTATACTAGCATACTCAAAGCTACAGATGCATGAATTCAACGCAATTATTCAACCCTTATCATATCTAACAAGTACAAGCTCTTCTACCATAAGATAATCAGCAAAGAATATTTTGCAAAGGAATGCCAGAGAATCAAAAATGTCCAAATTTTTTCAATTCGATTTATTGGACATATGAATCAAACTAAAGGTGCACAGGATTATTTAACATACACAATATACCCAAAACAAGAACTTTTCCCATACAGCAGAAATGCAATACTCTTCTAGACGCGCGTTTTACCAACCAAGTAATAGGCTTCTTCCGGAGATGAAAACAGTTTTCTTCTTGATAAAGTAAATAAAAGTGAAATTATCAATAGTAAATTTCACTAGTTCGGACTTCCATTGTCTACTATATAAAATGATTTGAAATCGCTGAAACAACTAAAAAAGAATAATTAAAAATGAATAGCTGAAAATAACAATTATATTAAGCAAAATAAACCTGAAATGAAATAATAGTGAAATAAACTACAAGTAAAAATATATGTTGGCCATGACTGGTGAAAGTGGCGATCCCATTGATCCGAACTAGTGAAATTCATCATGAAACATTGTCAATCACCTTCAAACTATCAATAGTAAATTGTTAAAAGAAACTTTCGATGTGTCTGGGCATGTAATATTAAACTTTATGAATACAGGATTGTTTCCAAACCAATACAAAGTTAGTACAGTCACTCCAATTCCAAAAATAAATAATACAAGTGATGCAAGTAATTTTTCGTTAAATTAACAGTCTTCCAACGCTTGAAAAAGTACTAGAACTGGCACTATATCAACAACTAGTTATATACTTTAATGAAAATAATTTATTCATCAAAAATCAGTCTGGTTTTCGCAAGAATCACTCATGCGAAACAGCTTTACAATTAACAGTTACAGAGTGGAAAAAAGTATTGATACAAAAGAATATACTGTTGCTATATTTCTAGATTTCAAACGTGACTTTGAAACAATCAATAGGAAAACTTCAATCAATAAATAAACAATATATCTTTGAAGAGCATCCGAATTATATCTACAAGTAAATAAACTCAAATTGAATATCAATAAATCTAAAGCAATGATTGTCACATCAAATTTGAATCAAAGAAAGATTGATACTAACGATGTTGATATCACCATATCAACATATCAACTCACAATTCTAAATGAAATTAAGTGCCTAGGATTTATTATAGACCATCAATTAAATTTGAATAAGCATGCTGAATATACCAATAGAAAGATATATAAGAAAATGTATTTTTTTCTTTAGAATTTCAAAATCTTTAGCAACCTTTGCTAGACTAACATGTTACAACTGCATAATAGGCCACACTTTGACTACTGTGCCACACTGATGAATCTCTTCAACCAAAATCAAATTGGACAGTTGCAGAAACTACAAAATCGAGGTATAAGAATTATTTTGAGATGCAACCAGTATACCCCTATTGAATTTATGTTGAATACTCTACAGTGGCAGCCGGTACATAAAAGACTATATTATTTTAGCCTGATTTTCATTTTCAAAATTACGAGTGGGATACAACCAGCCTATCTTAGCAGATATTTAGTTCGAAATAGTTATTCATTCATATAAAACATGTAATCATGTAATACATTTTATATATCCCGAACAAACTATAAGAGTGGAATGAATTCATTGTTCTTTAAAGGTCTAGATAGCTTCAATAATTTACCTGATAAAATAAAACATGTAAGTTCCTTAAAAGTATTCAAAAAGTTATTATTAGAATGTATCAAATTATAATACATGACATACTTTAAAATTATATATGTATATAAATGATTTACATATGCAAAACTATATATTGTATGTTAGGATTCCTAAAATAAAGTCTACTACTATATAGTTCCTGAAGACCCCAACTTGGTTGGTAAAACGGGCGTTGAGAAGAGTATTGTATTTCTGATGTTTAAAATATGTTTTTTCTGTTAACGAGCTATCGCACCCCTATGAACAACCACCCTCAGAAGTCGAAATTTGTGCGAGCTAAGGAATAACGAGGTCTTACCTTTTAACGTGTGATTCCTAATTAGGAAAATGCTGGTTTTGGATTTATTTTACACCAAGGGTTCCAGTTTTACTTTATTAATCACAACGCAAGTATACACTACTGGGCAGTAGAAAAATACACAAACATTGAAAACGATCCCAATTTGAGTAACTTGAACGATTAGATGATCCACAGTTTTCACAATTTTTACAAAACAATCTGCTAGTCAAGCTAGAGAAAGTACCTTTGAACTTGGGGACAAATATTTGGTTTCAGTTAGATGGTGCTCCACCAGTTTGTCCACTAGGACAATTTTTATATTTATAGGAAAAAGTGCAAGTCTTCTTTTTATTTTCTTCATTTTATGACAAATCATCCCTGTCACATTAGCAACATGCACCATGCACCTACCAAACCCACCACTCCACATACCATGGACAAATTTAATACCCCTCAGGGGCTAACCCCTGAGGTTTTATATAAGAACGATTCATTGAACAGTTAATTTCATGCTATGAAATTTTCAAACTTTTCAATATCTAAAGACAACATATATCAACCGGCTAAGATTGAGAAATTAGAATCCAACTTCATCAGAAATTTTAATTTCAATGTTTAAACTTCAATTCTATGTTAGCCCCAGTTACAGCTATTATTCAGAACAAATAATATTAATAGAATCAATGTAAAAATTGATGATAAAAATGAATGAAACTGTCACTACCTATAAACTACCATTTGATCTCATAGTACAAAACATATTGTGATGGAGATGTGAGAAGTACTAATATTTGAATATTTACTTGCACAGCAACAACAGTACATAATGAATATCAAGAATTTTAAGGGTCATGGCACAGACATTCCACAAACATCTCAGTAAATAATTTTCCAAATATAAAAAAATGAATGTATTCTAGATTGACCAGAATAAAGACACATTGCTATTATTATTATATTTACCGCAAGAAGTTTATTTAGCATCACAATAAATTAACTTCTCATTAACCTTAATCAATGATAAAATATGAAAGTTATACACATTTCATTAATGAGGCATCTATAGTGAAAAGTGAAAAAAAAAAGAAATGGGCAGTTTAGAACACAAGTCAGAAAATTAATCACACTGCATTGCAATAGAAAAAATTGCATTCAGGTTCACCCTGAAGCCATCACTCCTCTCACCACTCAATTGTCATGCCTACAAACCCATAAAAATCCGAAGTTATTTATACACATTGATGAATAAAAAAAGGTCAAAATGCTGAAAAGGGAACACCTAGAATGCCAGTGATGAATCTGAATGCAATTTAGATTCAAGAAATATACCCATAGGAGGAAACACATGTTTTCTACGTTTTTTTTTATAAGCAATATAATGAAGCTTCAAATTTTTGAAATAACTCACCCCCATCACTTTCATATTATAGTTATGTACATAAAGGATCTTCTGTCGAACAAAATCTGTAAATGTAGGTTCTAGCTGTTTATACTTGTTACAGCTCTTTATTTGTCTGCAAAGGAAAGTAATTCATGAATCAATTAAAATTATTAGAAAAACAAACAAGTAGAATGTTAATAACACAACATTAGTGTAAGAATGAGAAATGTTGACCAATAGTGAATTCAAAGTTTTCTGCTCTTCTTTCTTCTCTCTTCTTTCTTGATGATGTCTTCATCTTCAACAATCCTCTTCTTCCTCTTGGCGTTGAAATATTTGAAGTAAAATTCATTGAAATGAAAACTGATTTGAGAAATTTATAAATGGACAAATCTACTTCTATAAAATGTTCTAATAACTACATTCTTGGTATATCTTGATGACTGTACATGGTAAACCAGTTAAATAAAACTTTCAATGAATAGAAATAAAAATATGATAAAAAAAGCATGGACAATGTGTACAATGGAAAGTTATATGCACTGCCATGGAGGTGATCTTGAATTCATCTGCCTTCAATCGAAAAAATTCAGCGGTTAGTAGAAAAATAAACATTATTGTGGAAAACTTCAATGTGACATTTATAAAACCCAAATTAGGGAAAACACATACCTTTTGAGTTCGTGGGCAATCCTCTTCGAGTATTCACCATTAAAATCGCATTCGAAATAAGAATGCAAAAGGTTGTACTTTGATATGGATTTGATAGATGCTGAACTCGGCTTTCTGCAATTGAATCCTGAAAATGACAATCTAATATTTATATTATGGATAAAATTGATTACAATATAAACTCATTTCAGTTGGAATATATTATATACAGGCTGATTCATATTGAGTGCAACTTTTTTATTATTGGATATATGAAATCATTCAAATTGGCAAACCATAAACATTTTTTATTCATCGAGTTGCAAGAAACAAAAAACAATTGAGTTATTTTTGAATGTTTCCAATGAATATATATTTGATAGTAAAAATGGCATTTTAATTGTAAAATTACAATAAAAACCGATCATGAACTGCAATTAGTAGTCAAACAAGATTGTATACCGAATAAAGTCAAAAGCTCGATCTGGTTTACAGATATTCTAGTTGGGATTCCAAATTCTATTCAAGATAAGTATTTCTGGAATGAGTAGACTAGACAAAAATATGGCCTAGTATATAGACCTTTCAAAGTTTGAATTCCAATAATTAGGAGGAGTTACAGTGTAATAATTAAATTTTTCAGTACATTAAGTTGTTAATTTGATGTACTTAGAGTTAGATGCCCATTCCATGGAAGAATGTTATCAAACAATTTTTAGATTTCAATAGGAATAAAAATAATAACATTTATTGCCCAACAGATTGTACAATCCCCTTGGAAATCAATATTAGAATAACAAGAGTTCAAGGTGAAGAAAAAAAGAATGCTACTACGAAAAAAGATAACTATAAGTACAATGGAAAAAAACAAGAAAAATATTACAGATTTTGCATTACGTACTTAGTTTATATCAAGATATACCAGATTAACTCTGCAAATTTTGTTAAAATTATTGCAGATTGTGCTGATTAGTGATTTCATAAGGAGATTGGTTCTTGCGATGCATTGTTTGGAACCTTTGGTGTAGTAATAAATATAACTGGAGGTTAATAACAACATCAAACTGTTATTTTCAACACCTTGACATGTGGTTCAATCATCAAGTGATCATCTTCAGGAGGAAGATTAAACTCTCCCTCTTGAAGAGGAAAATTAAACTTTTCCTCTTGAAGATGATCCCTTGGTGATTGAAACATGTGCAGAGGTGTTAATAATAACAGTTTGGCGTTCGGATTAAACTCCTGTAATAAAAATTGATTCTTGGTTGAAATTATAGAAAGTTAAATTGTTTCTGCCCACGAATTGTGTACCCTGAAATTTAGTGGAATTGATATATCAAGACAATCAATAAAATTATGAACCAGTTTATGGACCCATGAAATAGATGCTAAGCTCTCTAAGTTGAATCTGTCTATCATCAACTGGGTAGCTGTTGCCAACTTTAGGAAACAAATATTGATGGAATTTTACTGTATGTTTTTGATCCTAATAATGTGTGAAGGATAGTGAGGTCTCTATATAGTAGAACAATATTCTAACTATGACCTAACATAAGAAAAATTAAAAATCTTCAAGGTAGCAATGTTAGTAAAATTTCTGCAATCGTGCACTATAAAACCATACACCCTAAATGCCTCTGAAATTTCAGAATCAATGTGCCAAAAAACTCGGTTCAGAATCAAAGACAACCCCCAGGATCTTTTATGGAAGTATCTCGTAATAAGGCAGTTCCATTCAGGTATGAAAACTCAGAGATTTTTTTCTTTGTATATGTTACAATTTTACATTTAGAATCACTAAGAGATAAATTATTAGCCAAGCACCAACCATGTACAATTCAAAAAATTCTTCGTTTTACAGGCATAACAAAATAAGTTAAAACCTGAATAACTATATAAAACTGGATATTTCACAAAACATACAGAATTATTTTCATCTGTAATTGATTTAGCTCACTTTTCACATAAATTCTCACTTATCATAGGGAATTCTCTTACGGTAGTGGCTTGCGAAACCTACTTTCAGAATCTCTTCATTTGATCAATCAAAAAACTCACCTTCATTCAGGTGACCATTTCTAATCTGCATCAAGAGCTTCTGATCCACAGGATTCCTTGGTCTTCTGTTGAACATTGTTACTAAAAAATTTGTGACTTTTATTTCGGGAGAGAAATGGAAAATCTGTATAGTTTTACACATATTTATACCAAATATCCACCAAAGAAATTAAAGTTATGATAAAAAAAAAATACTTTATGTAAACATTCAATAGCCCAAATTCTAATGGGACCATAAGTATTTATAACTCATGCCATGTTGCAAGCAACTGAAAACGTTTCATAATACATACTCACATTTATAGTATTGCTAACTGAACTCAAATTAATATTATTATTATACACGGTTTAAATAAACATTCCTATATTTCCGTTTAAAAACCTTTGACACATTAACAAACATTCTTTGACGAACTCATAGCCATATCACCGTTTTGAGTGTTTTGGTTTATCCTTTCGCCATTGTCTTTCGTCTTTCCTCTGCTTTCTATCTCTCATCTCTGTCACTCTCAAACCATTTCGCTATCGATCTCTCTCACAAGCACCGATCATTTTTAATAAAGCATGTTGCCGATACCACTGACCGTTTTATCTCAGAGCTTGGTGTTCTGTGCCGTTAGTAGATTCATAAATTAGTATCCTATGTTGACTAATTGAGTAAAAATGTGACTTTACCACGAGAATACAAAAATCTAGGACGAGTCGTGTAGGCATATATATATGAAATGTACTGTATTAAATATTGAAATTCGAACAGGTAATTTGTTGATTTTTTCCAATGATTGAGATTTCTGAAGGCCATATGGACCTAGTCTTAAAAAACTAGAGGCTTTTTAACTAGTATTAGTATTATATGTTCGTTATTACATCATTTACGTTGGTGATATTAATTTGTTTTTCATTAATTTTAAATCTAGAATAAATTGGATTGGATTTGGTTCTATGGAAAGTTCTACTATGATTTTTTTTTAATGAAATGACAATAACTGATTCGCCTCTTCAGTATCAATCAAATAGTTGCTTGAATATAATGGCAAAACAATATATACTTTACTGTCATATGTGTTTTGTTTCATATAAATAAAATGTACCAGTATTTAGACAGATTTGAAATAATGACACGATAGAAACATACAAATTCAATAATTGATTTCGAATTTAATATGAACCTAAAAAATCAGAGAAGCCAAGTTTACCTAAAAAAATTATAAAAAAATCACTCAAAACAATATTTTTTGAAAAAAAAAATTATATGACCGAGTGTTTCTTACTTATTGGGTTTATAAACTTTCACAATCTGAAAAATAAGCAAAGTTGAGTCAATTGAGAATCTGCTGAAGTATAAAAAAAGGACAAACTGAAAAGTTAACCCCGATAATTTACTGCGTAATATAAACCACTGAAGAGTCCAATATCAGTCATTAACTTTTCATATTCATAAATTTTGCTTAGAAAGAAAGCTAAAAATAAAAATATTTTTTTTTTCAATTTGTTGGCAAAATTCATAAATAGAGCAAGTTACTGACTTCGGTGGTTTATATTAAGCAGTAAACTTCTCTTTTTATTATACTTCGGCATATTCTCCATTGATTTAGCTTTGTTTATATTTCAGATTGTGGAAAGTTATATATCCAAAAAATCAGTAAAAAATAAAAATATGTTTGATAGTCGTTACAACTTTGGGGATATAAAAGTGCATGAGAAAATTATTATTTGGAACCAGCCCGTTGGGTTGACGTGGGTTGTTTGTTCCACTCACTCAATCGACCGCTGTGTAAACCGGTAGTTCAAGTCGCGAAGCCTGATGATCGATTTTCACTTCCTATCGTGCTAGGAATCACATGTTGAAAGGTAAGACCCCATCAGCTAGCACAAGTTTCAACTTTTGAGAGTTGTCGTTCGTAGAGGGGCAACAGCTGGTTAACGGAAAAACAGATTTTTAACAAATTTTACCTCCAAGGTATTGTGCAGGAACATTGTGGGGAAGGAACTTCCTTATTTCTACGGCAACGTTGAGGATTAAACAATGTTTTTTTTTATATCGACGATCACCTGAAACATGTGCTTGCTCTGATTACAAAGAGTCCCAATTTGAATGAAAATTGAATTGAAAGTTATTGAAAGGTCCTGACCTTTTGAGTTCTTAAACAAACATTTTATTCAATTTACGTAAAATCGAATTGCTAGAATGGGAGACATCGAAAGAATTGTTTCTAAGGATATGCATACGAAATGAAGATCAAGATTCGCAGCGTTTTCTGTGGAGGAATGATTGCTCTGTGATCTACGTCCTACTTGAAAACGCCAAAAAACATGAAAGAGCTCGAAATCATTAGGCAATCACAAATGAGTTGTTTCTTCGAAGATATTGAGATATTAAATCGTATGAAGATTCCAAACAAAGTTGTCTTCGAAATTGAAATGTTTTTATCGGCTAAGACCATATTTTGACACTAAGCGGACGGTTGGATAAAGCACACCACATAGATATCCATATGAGACAGCCAATTGTTAAAACTATCAAAATTGTTGGTTAAGTCGAACAAACTGGCCCTATAACTGAACACGAATATATTAATCTTCTAGCAGTCAATTGTCTCAGGGTTATAATAATATTTTTCACATTACTAATACAAATAAATACTACAAATGATTATTTTTTCATAAATATTATCCTTCCACAACATTGCACATTTTTCAACAAGATTGACACAGTAGTCTTTATCATGCATATCTACATTCTTCGAGGTTCCAAAGTCCACCATGTGCAATACAAAATAGGTCCCACTTTTTTCTGACACGTGTATTTGGTGTTTGAATCTGAGCATAATATTTCTTTCCCAATTTTTCTTGTACGAGCACTTTATCTCTACGATACAGTCACAAATCATTAACCTTTTATTGTTCAAAATTAGACCATCATCTTCATATTTTTGACTCGCGAGACTTCATTAATAACATATTTTTTTTAATGTTACGGCACCAAATACTTTCCCAATTAGAGAGCCATCTTTTGTTTTGCACTGAGTTGCATCATGCATTTTGGAGGCTATTATTCGTCCGTAGCGCATCTCAAACAACAAATTTGAATCTGACGGCTATCGTAGCCTCTTTTACTTGGAGACATATCTATTCCGTCATTTCTTTATTACAAAAGGTTATGAAACCTGAATCCACACGTTTTTTCGAAATGATTCATTAGGAAATGAAGAAACATCTTTTTCACCTATTTTTTTCCACATACATACTGTAAGAGCGAGCACTGTATTTGTTGCTCTGGAAGTTTTAGTATTATTTTGTCGAAAAATCATTTCAATTCTGTTAAACTTCATGAAGTGTTATACCAACATGTTAGCCCTAATCATTTTCAATGTAGTATCGATACCTGAAAGCTACGGTTTTTTCCAATAGCACTTTATGAAAGTTATTGAAGGCTCCTCGCTACGACGATGTAACTACATTAAAAATATTACGACACAATCCTCGCAGGTTAATTCAAAATGTCTTTTTCATTTTCATCGCATTCCAAATTGCAATGATATGGTTTTGTCATTTTATATAGTATATAGGTATCTATGGGTTTTGCACGTAAGCGGTGTTCGGGTGTCATTCTACATTTACCTATACATATATCACCTGCGCTTTTAACTTGCACGTAACCAATAACATCATCACTATATATAGTTGCCATTGCAAAGTTACGGTAGGTAGGTAGGTTTCGTTTGTTTCATGTCGTTCTGTGTTGGTGTTGTCTCGAAAATTTGTTGTTTGCAATGTGTTTTTTATTTTTACTTTTCAAATACGTATCTAATATGTCTGATGATTTTTAAAATAGGATTATCATCAACACGAAGAAACTACTTTTCGAGCCCTGAAGAAGAATTTATTTAAATTCGAAACGTCGGCAAGAATACAATTATTTTTTTTTAAGAAAAATTGATCCTGTTACACAACCAACCCCCCTTTTTTAGAAAAATTATTGGATCACTAAACTAGTTAACTGATTATATTGAATTTTGTAGGTTTTGAAGTTGGAAACCTGAAGTTTTGGGTCATTAAAAAAATATTATAACTATTTATTCAAGATGGTCTGTCAGAAATTGTATTGTGACAAACAAAATTCTACGCGAGCGAAGACGTGGACAATTAGTCTCAGATATGTGTAAAATTCCAATTACTTGGTCTTTTTCAATGCAACAAAGACTAGTGTATTTGTATACATATATAGTATACCAATTTTCAATTGAAGGTAACTCATATACAAATTGAACTGAGAGCTAACGGCAACATTGTTAAATGTTAGAACTAAATTCTTATCGGGGTCATTTTTATTGTCTATGCATCGCCATTGTAAATAATTGAAAAGTAAGATGATTCCATAAAATTTGC